AATTAGCCAGGCATGGTGGTGCATGCCTGTAGTCCCAGCTACTTGAAAGGCTGAGGCAGGTGCATTACTTGAGCCTGGGAGGTCAAGGCTATAGTGAGACGTGATTGTAGCACGGCACTTCCAGCCTGGGTGACAGAGTGATACCCTGTCTCAAAAAACAAACAAAAACCATTTCAAAGCATATGAAAAGATGAAAGACTTCAGAATTGATTTTACAAAACTATCAAAACTCTGGTCTAGCACAATAAAATACAGCCGAGAGCCAATAACACTTACTTAAAAAAAAAAAAAAAGAAAAAATTAAAAATAATTATAAATCAAATCCAGTAGCAAATTTAATGAAGAATCACCACGATTAAGACAGTGAATTCCAAGAATGCAAAGACAGTTCAACATTAAGAAATCCATAATATAATTCACTATGTAAGTAGATTAATGGAGACAATTCATATGAGCATTTTTATAAAGACAATGTTTGATAAAATTCAGCAATCACTCCTGATAAAAACTTAGAAAGAAACTTCTAACTGCATAAAATGTATCTACTTAAACCTCTGACAGGTATCACACTTAGTGATGAAATATTAGAAACATTCTAAGTCTGGAAGGACTGGGTGCAGCGGCTCATGCCTGTAATCCCATCCCTTTGAGAGGCTGAGGTTGGCGGATCACCTGAGGTCAGGAGTTCAAAACCTGCCTGGCCAATACAGTGAAACCCAGTCTCTACTAAAAATACAAAAACTAGCCGGGTGTGGTGGCACACACCTGTAATCCCAGCTACTTGGGAGGCTGAGGCAGGAGAACTGCTCGAAATGGGGAGGTGGAGGTTGCAATGAGCTGAGATCCCACCATTACACTCAGTCTGGGTGAAAAGAGTGAAACTCCATCTCAAAAAAAAGGTCTGGAAGAAGACAAGAATGTTCACTTTCATTTATCTTAGTCAGCACTGTATTCTGGAAGTTCTAGTAAATGCAGTTAGACATGCGGTAGAAACAAGCATAGGTATCAGAAAAGAAGAAAAACTCTGCCACTGCAAGTCATAGGCATACACATACACATATGCACATAGACCCACAGACATACACATACATATAGGCACATACCCTTATGTTTATAAATGTACAGGAATGGTTTTAGAAGGACAGATGCTAAATTGTTAACAATGGTTTCATCTGGGCAGCAAAGGAAGATAGCGGAGAGAATGAGGGTAAAGAAGAACCTTTAACTTTTATTCTCTGTATTTGTTTGCTTGAATTTGTTTTTACAACAGTTTTTATAATTAAAATTTTTTTAGGCTAGTGTTATGGCTCATGCCTGTAATCCCAGCACTTTGGGAGGCTGAGGCAGGTGGATCACGTGGGGTCAGGAGTTGGAGACCAGCCTGGCCAGCATGGTGAAACCCTGTCTCCACTAAAAATACAAAAATTAGCCGGGCATGCTGGCAGGCACCTGTAATCCCAGTTACTGAGGAGGCTGAGTCAGGAGACTTGCTTAATCCCAGGAAGCAGAGGTTTCAGTGAGCTGAGATCACTCACTCAAGCCTGGGTGACAGAGTGAGACTCTGTCTCAAAAAAAAAAAAAAAAAAAAAAAAAAAAAAAAAAAAAGGGGGAAAAGCCTTATGATCACATGACTTTTCACCCAAGTGACTAGCCCAAGGCTCAAACTTGGGTTTTGCAGTATCAAGTGAGTTTCACATAGCTGGTTTGCTATTTTAGATACCAGAAAAAGGAGGAAAGAAAGGGGTAGCCAGGGAGAATTGTGTACTAGGAAATAGTCATTAAGGTCATTACATTGATCCTTCATTTCTATTTGTCACACATAATGCTCTAGGAATGAAGAGTGACAACTAGTTTTTTAAACAAAGGGTGTCACTGCTTCCAAAGCAGCCCTACAGTGGATCATAAGGTCAGGAGTTCAAGACCAGCCTGGCCAAGATGGTGAAACCCCATCTCTGCTAAAAATACAAAAATTAGCTGGGTGTGGTAGCACATGCCTGTAATCCCAGCTACTCGGGAGGCTGAGGCAGGGAATTTTTTTTTTTTCTTCGAGACTGAGTTTCGCCCTTGTTACCCAGGCTGGAGTGCAATGGTGCGATCTCGGCTCACCGCAACCTCTGCCTCCTGGGTTCAGGCAATTCTCCTGCCTCAGCCTCCTGAGCAGCTGGGACTACAGGCACGCGCCACCATGCCCAGCTAATCTTTTTGTATCTTTAGTAGAGACGGGGTCTCACCATGTTGACCAGGATGGTCTCGATCTCTTGACCTCGTGATCCACCCGCCTCGGCCTCCCAAAGTGCTGGGACCACAGGCGTGAGCCACCAAGCCCGGCCGAGAATTGCTTAAACCTGGGAGGCAGAGGTTGCAGTGATCCGAGATCACACCACTGTACTCCAGCCTGGTGACAAGGCAAGACTCTATCTCAATAAAAAATAAAACAAACAAAAAACAAAGCAGCACTCCATTCATTATTTAATTTGATTTACTCCTTAGGAAATAATTTCAATCATTTATGAAGAAGAAAATGTCCTGCAATGATGATCTAAATGACATCATAAAAAGATAATCTTGACTGTAGATCTGGAATTCGCGGAATTTTCAAAGGCACAGAGAAAAACTCCAGTTCTCAGGTTTCAGCTGAGTGACAAATTTCCTGCCTCATCCCCTCACAACGGATGCTTCTGTGATCTGAACTATACGTTATTTCTAGTACATGCCATGGCCTTTCTTATTTCTGGGGCTCTACAGATATTTTCCCTCTGCCTGGAATGCTCTCCTCTCTCTTCCCACTTAAAATGCTAACATATCCATCAGAAAAGAGTTAAGATAGCAGGACTGACTGCTCTCTGTGAAAAGATCTGCTTACAAGGCTGGTTCTAGCCTGGCATCTGGTAACTTGGATTTGAGGAGGGTTCCCATCCTTCCCAGAACTGATAAGGGTGGCTTGCTTGCTGCGCCTCTACTGTACAGACTGTGCTGAACACCTGCTTTCCTTGTGGGAGTGTGGAATTTTGTTAGCTGGCAGGCAGAGGGTGTGTATGTGGTCAGCCCCAATAAAGATGCTGGGCTCTGAGCCTCTAACAAGCTTCCTGGCTGCCAACATTTCCCATGTGTTGTCACAACTCATTGCGGGGGGAAGTAAGTGGGTCCTGCATGCCTTCCCTAGGGTAAAAAACCTTGGGTGCTTCTATCTCGTTTCCCCCAGACTTTACCCCATGAACCTTTTCCCTTTGTTGGTTTTCTTTGTATACTTTCACTGCAATAAATCATAGCTGTAAGTGCCAATGTATGCTGAGTCACTGAATCACTGCAGATCACTGAATCTTAGGGGTTGTCTCGAAGACCCTCAACACACAACCCTTCAAGCGTCAGTTCAAATATGACAGCATTAATCTTTCTGTGCTTTCTCAGGGAGCTTCCCATTGCTCCTTTGCCTCTGCTCTTGCAATTAAAGAGAGTTCCTTATTGCATGATCATTAACCCTTTGTACTCTGTGCCCCTTTTAGAGTATAAGCTCATCAAAGACAAAGATCTGGTCTTTTTCCAGCATAGGGTAAATATACTTGGTAGCATTTGCAATGGTGATTGTAGTCACTACCCACTGTTCACTACGTGCCTGACACACATAGCTAAGAGCTCTACCCTTATTATTCGCACTTCATCCTTCCAACCACCCCTTAAGGTAGTTACTACTCTTATCCTCATCTATAACGTGGAGAAAACAGAGGGGCCATCAGAAGGTGTTCAGTGAGTGAATGAACCATGTAAAGAATGTCATTTTAGTCCGTGGGGAATCACGTCACTGAGCTGCACTTTTGTCACCATGGCTATTAACTCATGTACATGCACCTCTGCAGGTGCTGTGTACAAACTGCTCCTAGGATGTAACCTATTATATCACTTCTTCATTATGAAGTGACTTATTATATCATTTGTTTTCTTATTACTTTTTTTTAACTAGATAAGGTGTGCTTACTGAGCACAATTCAATCAAGGGTGTGTAGTGGAACATAACCCTCTCTCCTGTTTGCCACCCCAGACCCTCTTTTATGTCCTTCCAGAGGGGATGGACATGTGTTAACATATTTTACACAATGGGAGCATTTTATGCACATTCAATTTGCTTTTCTTACCTAAAAACACATCCTGGTGGTCGTTTCATTGCACATCTACAACAACCTCACCCTTCCTGAACACCTGCAGAGCACGCCACATCACTAGGACAGTAGGTTGGAAACAGCTTAATTATGACAAGTGGCTCTAGAACATTTTACAGAGTAGACCTATATGATAAAAAGTCTTAGAAATGGAACATCTGGGTCCAAAAGATATTACTTATTTTTAATGTAAAATATTGTGACATAATGTACATACCATAACATTTGCTCTTAAAGGTTATGGTTCCGTGGTTTTTAGGATAGTCCACAATTGTGCAATATCACCACTACCTAATTCCAAGACACTTTCATCACCATGGAAAGAAACCCTGTCTGTATCCATTAGCAGCTAAGAGATCTAGTTTTCATTTTGATAGGTTTTGCCATATTGTGGCCATCAAAATTAAAGAACATCTTTTTGACCACACATTGCAGAATTTATAATATTACTCCAAATACGCAAGGTAGTAGATTTCTAGTTGTGTCTCCATCCCTGTGCCTACACAGAACAATGTCTCATTGGTCTTATCTGAGAAAGTAAGTCCAAGCTCAAGAAAGAAAATGCAAGCCTCCCATTCCCACCTCCCCTCCCCCACCATTCTGCTGCGTTCTGCATAGAAGCTGCATGTTGGCACACTCCCCACACTGAGAAATGCATCAAAAGTCCAGCCTGACTTTAAAAGTCCTTTACAGTCTTTTCAGAGATGCACCCCATCTATACAAGTGTACATGGTTGCTACCCTGACCTTGACCAGGACAAAGGCATTCTCATGATGTCAGTGTTCTGAGTTTAATGCTCTGGCAACAGGAGAATTTAAAAAGGCACAGTTCCTTTCTGTGTCTGTTCTCCAACCCAAGCGCTGACACCATATCAGGTTGTTCTGTCCTTGGACCAGTCACCAGTGCCCACAGTGCCAGCCATGGGATGCCAAACAAGGCTTGCTTTGCGTCCCACCCCTCCTCCCACCACCTGCCATCCCCTGCTTATCTGGAAGGACCTCACACCCTAGAAAACTGACTCTGTAAACTGCTTCCCAGAGTGTGCCGCTTGGCTTCCAGCCCCACGTGGAGAACACAGCCCGCCAAGCACCCCCAGGTGTATGACGCTTTCTTCCTCTTTCTTCCTTTTCCTCATGTGTTTTTAGGAACATCCAAAGGGAAGATAATTAAAACCTGCAAGAAAACCAGCTGGCAGAGTAAAGGAAAATCTTAGTGACTTAGGGACGACGCCACATGTTTATGGGTAAGTTTTGTAAGTAACACGACAATAAAAAAGAGGCTTTATAAATAAATGCCACATTCTTCAAAGCTCTATATAAACTACATTTTTTTTAAAGGAAGGGGTGGGGGCGAATCATACCATGCTTCTTCCTCATCATTTCATTTCCAACAGGGGGAAAGGAATCCTAATTGTACAATTTCCTAGGAGCTCAGGCGTTCTGGAGCCAACAGCACAGAAACATACACGCACTCACACACGCATTCACACACACGCACACACTGAGGAAAAAAGGGAAAGCAAGAAAGAAAAGAGGAGGAGGCCCAAGAGGATCCTTATTTAGCAAAGCAGAGTGGAACAAAGGGGCAGGAGGGCAGTCATCTCACCACCTCTGATCGGGTTTTCTAGCTATTCATGCTAAGCACACACACTTTTAATTCATAAGACGAAACCTCTGCCTTCCTTTCTCAAATGCCAAGCGCTGTCTGAAAAGTGCCAAGATTAGGGTGAGCCTATATAATCCCTTTCATTTTTCATCTCCTTTGCTGATTGTCAGGTGAAGCAGAGAGCCTTTTGCCACTCTGCATGTGACACAAGGCTCAGGGCACACACATTCCAGAGTGGCCTTCCCCACGAGCCAGCTGTGTGTAGGTAACTAAAGCCTGCCCTTTGCTTGCTGTTAACAGGAGTAATTGGCATGCCACTGAGGAGCTGCTGGAGCGCTGTGATTTGCTCAGTTTGGGGGTCTCCCCAGACCATATGTGCATGCAGTGGTGATAGAAATATTTTCCATATGAGCTCTCCACTCGCCTGCTTAAGTGTTCCAGGCTGAGGGAGGCCAGCCCATTTGTCATTTACTCTACACACTAAAAAAATCAACAGGGAAGTTGCGAACTTCAACTACAACTAGAGGGCAATGGTCTGCTTTCAGCTTCCAGCATCACTCACCCATTCAGTTCCTCTTGCTCCCATTCAAGGGCTCAATCCCCCCACAGGCCCAGAAAATATCTACAGAGCAGAGGACATGATTAACTAATAGGCGAAAAGCCTACAACAAATGACCCGTTGCTGCATGCCTCTGAGCTGCATGTCTGTTTTGAACAGAGCAACACGCCTGCTGAAACCACAGCTAGCTTTGCAGCCGTGGGCTTGGAGCGCTCTCACTTCCACTCTTCTTAGACAAGGGAAAGTAATTACATTAGCCTTTCAGAGCCTGCTTGGTCCCTGACAAGGCTAACAAAAGGCAAAGCTGTGAAGTGGCCTCATGGCCCTTTTAGGAGATATACTTTTCACTTGGCTTTTCAAAGAAGAAGATGGATGCAAGAGAAAGGCTGTCGTTTCATTACTCAGGCATCAGGGTAAGAAGTGGATACAGGAAATATGTTGCAGGCTGCTTTGCAGGTGAGGGTGGATACACCAAGGTGCTTCCCCCATGGGGCTCAATGACAATCTATTCTAATCTCTTTACCTGCATAAAAAACTGACTCCAAGAGGTATCATTGATGTTTAAAAAAAAAAAAAAAAAAAAAACTGCACCCAACAATCACATGAACTCAACCTCTAAGAATAAATCATCCTCGTGGACTTGAAACATCTCTTCCTTCTAAGGCTGATCTGGGCACACTCCTAGCCCTGTTGCATATTATCCCTCTTCAAACCTGTGATAGAAAGTTAAGCACAGATTTATCCAAACACATCAAAGCCCAAAATAAAAATAAAAAGAGAAGGAAGTGTTGTAAAAGCAGGGAAGAAAAGCGATTCTCCCAGCATGCACATTCTCTTTGCAGCACTGGAGAAAAATTCTCAAAAGGTTAACAGTCCCTATCAAAATCTGACATGGCATATCTTTTCTTTTTTTTTTCCTACTACAGCAGGAGAAATGTGCACGCTACAGGCATCTGTCACCAAGGCCAGAGCAACTTCCCAGTGTGGCAACTGTACAGATAGCTTCAGAATGAGATTTTAGAAATTATAAAATTCTTTAAGAAGAAAAGATGTCTTCATATAAGAAAAGGCAAGAGAAGCCTACGAAAGTAATATAAAGCATTAGTCTTTGCACCCCATAAAAATCCATTCCCTGATCCCTCTTGGTTGATAGAAGAGGAAATATAATGCTGACAAAAATACAACTTCTGACAAGATATTTTATTTGGCTTACCTCTCCCCCAGGTCTTGCTAACACTGCTGTTTGAACGTGGAGAAATGTTAATATCAGGTAGCTGACAAACATTATTACCCAAAGTTAGAACTACCCTAGAGGAGAACTCCGTCTGCCAAGTGCTAACAGCTAGCAGATGCACTTGTGTCTCGGGATTCCAGCCCTGGAGTTCCGCTAGGCACCGCGCTGGTTCCCTCGGCTCTCCCTCACTGTACTACCCGGCGCTTCAAGCTCAGCCTCTGCTCTGAAGAAAACTGGTAAGCTGATCTCTTCATGTAATAACTTCTCCCGGCTGGGGGAGGGGACAGGAGCCAGCTGGGAGCTGGGGGGCTGCCTTTAACAGAAAGCAGAAAGGGGAGGGACAGAAATGATCAATGTGGAGTTCTGCATCTGGTCTCATTCATGAAAAGGGTTCCAAGGTAAGCACTCCACATGCAGGGGGACAGCCCCTACCCTCATCCACTGAGGCAGGGAGGAGGCAGTGAACTGCAGCAGGATGAGCTCCAGGCTGGGAACGGGGAGGGCTAGGGCCTTCCTAGTGCAGGATCTGGGGCTGACCAGCTGTGTTTGCCTGGACAAGTTGGCAGCCCTCTCTGGGCTGCAGTTTATTTTTCTCACTGGTACAATCAAACGTTGGGTGAATGGCCTCTGAGTTCCCTTTTAGATCTGATTTGATGGTTGCAGAAATCTAGGTGGTTAAAGGTTGTATTATCAAAGGCAGCCTCAATGGGGAAAGTCACAGGGTGATGTGTGTTTGTGCACCAATTATATAGACACAAATGGATGGGAACTGTGGAAGACAACATAGCCCCCTCTTGCTGCATCCCTGGGTCACTATGCCTAACCAAGAGCTTGAGGAATGATTGCTGACAATGTAAAAATAGGCAGCAAGATGGGAACAAGTGAATCCCAAGTGTCACATACTGCGTCAGAGTGCACTGAAATGCAGGATAGTTTTAAAAGAATTAAGAGCTACCTTTGAGTAGACTCACACTGACCAACAAAGTGGGACTTGGGAGTGTGGGGAGCAGGATGGGAAAAGGGTCTTCCTAGAGCCTACTGAGCACTTGAGATACACCTTACATGGTCACCTGTTATCCTGAAATAGCAGGGATCGTAGTTTAAAACAGATTACCATTGTATTCTGCCTAGAACGGGTTCAAGGCAGTATTCTGAGGCTTTTGGTGACCACAGAGGATAGGATGACTGCATGGTGTAGTGGAAACAGCCTGAGGTCCTGGAATTAGGCAGGTGTGGGTTAAACTCCAGTTGTGCTTCAAACTCTTTGTGCATGTATGGGTGAGTATTTAACTCTGGTGAGCCCTAGTCTCCCCTCCTGCGAAATAGAAAAATGCCATCCAATGCTTATGATGACTACCAATGAGCTCACCTAGGCACAAAACGTGGCATACTTCCTAGCACACAGTAAGTACTAAAGACACAGCCTTTCCCTTTGATCTGAAATAAATATCAGCAGCCAGCCCCAGAAAGTAAATTAATAAACACTTGAAAAGCCTCAGGTTATGAGCATTTTCCTGCATTAATGAGGAAACTTTAAACCTAACTGCAGTTTGCAGCCATCTCAGAAAGTTTATTATCACCAGTCACGTGACCATTTACTAGTGGGGGGACGAGGGGGAAGAACTTTCATTCCTTTTTTCCAGGTCTATAAGATGAAAAAAAAATTAGAGTGAGGATAACATAATATCTCCAGTTAAAGAAAGAAAGGAATGAATTTTTCTTCTTCCTCCTTTGCAGTCACGATTACTGTTCAGCTTTGGGTCTATTCTGCTACGTAATTGAAGGGGCAAAGTTATCTTCTGAGTAACCTCACGGGAAATGCAGGCATTACTTCAGAAAGTCAAAGTTCTTGAAAGTCCAGGAGTGTTGTCTAGCCAGGGGTTGGGAAACTTTCTGTAAAGGGCCAGATGGTAAATATTTTTGGTTTTACAGACCATGTGGTCTCAGTAGCAACTACTCAATGCTGCCATTACAGCACAAAAGCAACCACAGATAACACACACATGAACGAGTGTGGCTGTGTTCCAATAAAACTTTATTTGTAAAAAAACAGGCAGCAGGCCAAATTTGACAGTAGTTTGCCAGCTCCTGGTCTAGACACTTCCCAATCATCCTTCAAGCCAATGCAATCTTTTGACTTCTTTGCTCTACTGCAAGGGCTCTGGAAAGGTCACCAATGGCCCCTGTGTCACACAATTCAAAAGATAATCATTTAGCACTTATTTACTTCTCTGTAGCCATGTCTTCCTTTACTTTTAATGTTGTGGTAACATATAAGCAACCTAAATTTATCATTACATTTATTATTAAGTATATAATTCAGTGGCATTAAGTACATTCACAGTATTGTGCAGCCATCGCCACTGTTCATGTCTAGAACTTTTCCATTTCCACAAACAGAGACTCTGTATTCACTAAACCTCTCCATTTACCCTCCTCCAAGCCCCTGGTAACCACTATGCTACTCTCTGTCTCCATGAGTTTTCCTAGTCTAGTTACATCATACAAGGGGCATCATACACTACAGTATTTTTCCTTTTGTGTCTGATGTATTTCACGTAGCATAATATTCCCAAGGTTTGTCCATGCTATAACAGGACAAAACTTCATTCTTTTCTAAGGTTAAACAATATTCCGTTGCATGGATATACCACATTTTGTTTATTCATCCATCTGTTAATAATGGACACTTGGAATGTTCCTACCATTTGGCTGCTATGTATAATGCTGCTATGAACCTGGGTGTCCAAGTATCTATTTGAATCCCTGCAGTCAATTCTTTTGGATATATATCTAGGAGTAGAATCATTGAATCATATGGTAACTCTATGTTTAACTTTTTGAGAAGCTACCAAACTGTTTTCCGTAGTGGTGGTACCGTTTTACATTCTCACTAGCAATGCATAAAGGTTCAATTTTTCTACATCCTTGACAACACTTATTATTTTCCATTTGACAACAGACATCTTAATGGATGTGAAATGTATGTCTTCCTTTTTGAACTACTCTCTTCCCATAGCTTCCAGGGCTATGGCTCTAGATTTCCTTTGCCTCTCATTAGCTGACATTCGTTGAGCACTATGAGCCCAGTATTATTAAAATTACTAAAATAACTTTTAAAATAGTTTCATGTAGCCATGACAACAGTCTTATTAAATAATTTGCTTCATGTCACACAAAGGTAGGTGGCACAGTCAGCATTCTGACCCTGGCAGCCTTTGTCCAGAGGCTGACTCTTAATGACAGCATTGCCTTGTCACCATTTCTCTGGACTCTTGACACACCCTGGGCCTAGCTCCTAAATTCTTATGTTCTAGGCCGTTTCCTCTCTGTCTGCCTTTGTTGGGCCATCTTATCATTTCAATGGTCTCAACCCTTTACATACCCACGATTCTCTACAACCATCTGTAGCCAGGTCTCTCTCCTGACCTGCAGGTCGATATACCCAGTTGCCGAATGGATACTTGCATTCCTCAAATGTACTCTGAATTCAACAGTTCTAAAACTGACCTAATGTTTCCCTGACACCTGTTCTTCCTCCTGTTTTCTCCATCTTAGTAAAGGACATCATTAGCCATATAATTCCCAGGGGCTGAGAACAGGGTCCTCCCACTCCCTCACTTTTTCATCCAAACCATCATTGGGTCTGATTGAGCTTCTAGAGAGCTCCACAGCAGGTCTATGGCCCCACATTCCTGCTGCCCTGTCCCCATCCAGCCCTTCACATCTCTTCATGACTTTATGTAGCAACCTTCTTGTTCTGTTCTTCTCTTCTTCCAGCCCTCTTTCCTACTGCAACCACTGGGATCTTCTAAATGGGATTCCAATCATGTCATTCACCTGATTTTGTTCTTTTTCTTTTGAAATAACTTTAGGTTTACAGAATAGTTGCAAAGACAGCACAGAGTATCACAGCATCTCTTCACCCAGCTCTTTATACTGTTAACATCTTACATAACTGATATATTTATATAAACTAAGATGTTACCATTGGTACAATAATATTAACTAATATAAATATCCCTAGTTTTTTTTCCAAAACGTACTTTTTCTATTCCAGGGACCCAACCCAGGAGACCAGTTATATTTAGTCATTACATTTCTTTGGTCTCTCCTGGTCTGTGACAGTTTCTCGGCCTTTGTTTTTCATGACCTTGACACTCTTGAAGATTACTGGTCAGGTATTTTCTAGCTTATCCTTCATTTTGGGTTTATCTAATGTTTTTTTCATGATTAGACAGGGGTTAATGGGTTTTTATGAAGAATACTATGGAAGCAAAATGACCTTCTTATCACATTCATCGGGGGATACTCTTTCAACATGACTATCACTGATGATGTTAACCTTGACCATGTGGTTAAAGTGGTATCTGCCGGGTTTCTCCACTGTAAAGACAGTATTTTCCTTTTCCATACCCTATTTATTAGAAATGAATCAGTAAATCCCATAGAATTAAGCTCTACTTTCTGGAGGGGGAGTATCAAAGAATATTCAGACATGTCAAAACCATCACAAATGCATACATATTTTGAAGGAGATACTTTGAGGCTATGCAAATGCCCTGTTTTCTTGGCTAATTTTAACATTCATCTGTAGATCTTGCCTGCAGCAATTATTACTGTAGTGTCCTAATAGTGATTTTCTGTTTTCCTCATGCCTTCTACATTTAATCAGAACTCATTAGTTAGATGATTTGTCCCTCCTTTTCCATATATTTATTAATTGAAACATTTATTTATACTCCTCTGCTTAAAATCTTTTGATGGCTCTCCTTTGGGATGAAGTCCAAATCCTTTCATATGACAATTACAAGACTGTTTGCAATATGTTCTCTTCCTGCCCTTCCAGCCTCTTCCCCGTCTTTTGCTCATATACACTTTATTCTCCAGCCATCTTAAGCCACAAGAAATTATCCCAACTACCAGGTGTCCTTGTGCTCAATGCCTTCTTTCCCAGTAGTCCCTTTCCCTAGAGTCATTCCCCTATCATCACCGAGCTAGATCCTGTTGCTCTTTGCTTCTAAAAATGTATCCCAAATTGTGCATAAGCACCAAATGTTGGAAACCACCTAAATGCCCATCAATAGGGACTAACTGAATAATTGTGACATCCATAAAATGAGGTACCCTGGAGCAACAAAAAAAAAAAAAAAAAGAAAGAAAAGAAAAAATTGAGGTTGCTTCCTATGTAATGATACGAAACATATCCAAGATTTATTAAGTGGAAAAAAATGCA